TTGAACAAGTGACAGCTCGCTTTTGTAAATGGAAGATTTGGAATTCCTGCTGCAGGAAATTGCAACTTCCTGCCGCAGGAATTTCAAATTACACCTACTCGGAGGTGTGAATGAGAGCTAACTCCATAACTAATTGCCTACTTAAATAGTTTTTTTTATTAATTAAGGGACAAATAAGGTCTACTGGCTTTGGTACAGGGTTTTCATAAAAAACCCAACTCAAATTTCTTATTATAGACTAACATGAACACAAGATGGAAAAAAAAAATGTTCTTTCAGTTTTGTTTACATTTTTTTTTAAAGTTGTGGAGGCATACACTGATTATTTATCCTCCTAAAATTACATATTCCCTGTTATGTGCTGATCCAGCGGCTTTAGTCATCAATACATCACTTCCTAGCAAGTATGCAAAATAAGATTTCTGACTTTCCTGATCTTCTTGCTTGTGCCTGGTCAGTGCCTCCGGTGAAGCCAGATACATCCAGGCGACTACCGTATCATTTTATGGAGTTCAGCAAGGGCTGCATGTTTCTGTTAGTACAGGTTTCCCTTAAAAGGGACTTTCAAGTATATGGCAGATCACAATAGGTTAAGGAGCCCTCTTTACAGAAACAAACAGCAACCTCTTCTCAAAGGGGTGGGTGGATTGATTGTGCAGTCTATGCTGTAGCAAAGGGGCCAAAAAGACAGAGGTACCTTAAAGAGGGCAAAGGTAATCAAGATAAGAGGACAATACTTGCTTTCACTGGTGAACAATGCTGATAACAGCAACCACACTCCCTTACAGCTAAACTGCAGGCACAAAAGCTTTCATTTAAATGTATTCCTTAATAGCCACAGAGTATATAAAACCACTTTGTGTGTGTCCCGAATGCCTTTGCAAAACCATACACTACTTTGCAAAAGTAGTGATGATGTCATCACAGGGCTCCACATAGCCTTTGAAGAGAGCAGAGCTGTAAGTGGGACCCAACTACAAGCTGCCTCAAGAAAACTACAGTGGGTAAGAAGAGGAAGAGGTGGCTGGGTACAAGACCATTCATTTGGCAGTGACCGGTTCCCATTAAAGAAAACTTGCACAGAGGCAAAGTGCAGGGTTTTTTTTTAATGCTGGCTTCACAGAAACTACACAAAGAAAAAACAAAATTTGAGTTAGAAATGTTTTTGTAAATATCTATTCAGCATGGACTTCAGCTTAAATAATGTTTAAATGCTTATTATCTGTAGCATGATGTAGAGTGTACTAGTGCAGACAATGTCACAGAAAGTGATGCATGTAAGGCAAATTATGCTAATGAGGGTACAGCTAGATTGAATGGAACAACGAAGTTTGAGATATAACTGGGAACAGGACCAAATGGACAGCTGCACATGCAAGCATTACATATTGTTAAGTGTCCTGTAAGTTTACAACATGAGGAACTCACCCTGAGCCTAATCTCGTAGATCTGCCATGGTAACAGGCCGTAGGGTGCTTCACAGGACTAGAGGAGGCCTTAACGAGAATATTTACACTTTAACTGTTTCCTTAAAAGATATACACGCACCGGCCACTTTATTAGGTACACCTGTTCAATTGCTTGGTAACACAAATTGCTTATAAGCCAGTCACATGACAGCAACTCAATGCATTTAGGCATCTAGAAGTGGTGAAAGGGACTTGCTGAAGTTCAAACCGAGCATCAGAATGGGAAGAAAAGGGATTTAAGTGACTTTGAACGTGGCATGGTTGTTGGTGCCAAACAGGCTGGTCTGAGTATTTCAAAAACTGCTGATCTACTGGGATTTTCATGCACAATCATCTCTATGGTTTACAGAGAATGATCCGAAAAAGAGAAAATAGCCAGTGAGCAGCAGTTGTGTGGATGAAAATGCCTTGTTGATGTCAGAGGAGAATGGGCAGACTGGTTCGAGATCATAGAAAGGCAACAGTAACTCAAATAACCACTCTTTACATCCGAGGTATGCAGGATACCATCTCTGAACGCACAACACGTCAAACCTTGAAGCAGATGGGCTACAGCAGCAGAAGACCACACCAGGTACCCCTCCTGTCAGCTAAGAGTAGGAAACGGCTGCTACAATTTGCACATGCTCACCAAAATTGGACAACAGAAGATTGGAAAAACGTTGCCTGGTCTGATGAGTCTTGATTTCAGCTGCAACATTCATATGGTAGGGTCAGAATTTGGAGTAAACAACAGGAAAGCATGAATCCATCCTGCCTTGTATCAACGGTTCAGGCTGGTGGTGGAATGGTGTGGGGGATATTTTCTTGGCACACTTTGGACCCCTTAGTACCAATTGAGCATAGTTAAAACGCCACGGCCTACCTGAGTATTGTTGCTGACCATGTCCTTCCCTTTATGACTACAGTGTATCCATCTTCAGATGGCTACTTCCAGCAGGATAATGCACCATGTCACAAAGCTCACATAATCTCAAAATGGTTTCTTGAACATGACAATTAGTTCACTGTACTCCAATGGCCTCCACAGTCACCAGATCTCAATCCAGTAGAGCACCTTTGGGATGTGGTGGAATGGGAGATTCGCATCATGTATGTGCAGCCGACAAATCTGCAGCAACTGTGTGCTATCAAGTCAATATGGACCAAAATCTGTGAGGAATGTTTCCAACACGTTGTTGAATCTATATTTGAAGAATGAAGGCAGTTCTGAAAGCAAAAAGGGGTCCAACCCGGTACTAGCAAGGTATACCGAACAAGGTGGCCAGTGAGTGTATATTTGTCCACCTTTTTAGCTTAAAGGGTTTACACTCATAGGAAAGATATCCTACGCAGTCCCTAAACACCTTTCCATAACCGTAAACTCATCATATTTTACAAACATAGATTTATGTTCTTTCCATACCTATAGGTCATTTGCACAAGGAGTGAAACCTGCCCCAAAAAATCCTGCCAGTTTTGAAAGCTATCATATAACAGAGTCCAGTGGCTTACAGCTCATGAAAACCCCAAGAACCCCAAATCCACAATCTCAAAAAAGTAGATTATTACATGCAATCAATAAAACAAGGATTGTACATAGAACAATATCGGACCTCTGAAAAGTACAAGCATGCATATGTACTCAGTACTTGGTTTGGGCCCCTTTTGCAGCACTTACTGCAATTACTTTTGCACAATATTCTAATTATTCGAGTTTCACCTGTAAATAATATTCAGTAGAAGAGGAAGATGTCACAATAGGGAAACACCTTTCCTGATTCATACTGACTCACTACAAACCATGCACTTTTGTATTTCAAATACATACTATTGCCCTAGCAAAGCATGACAGATGTGAAAAGATAAATTGCCCCACAAAGAGCACTGCAAGTGTTTACTTAGGCAAATTGGAACTGTCCTGAGTTCACGCAGATACTGGTCCTTGTTAACTAAGTGGTGCTTCTAAATACCAAGGTGTTGAATTGTTGAAAATTATAGAAAAGAGAGTCCATTGGCCATAGTAACTGATACAATGTGATTTTTATTCTCTGGAGAAAGAGTAAGAAGTGGTATGACTGTATGTCATGGGGCAAAGTTTAAACTCAGTAGTTAAATCTTACAAATGTATTCAAGTACCTTAACTATTAACAAAAATGTAACCCTTGTGTGTATCACTCAGCTGTAAGGCTTCAAATTATCTCTGAATTCATGTCGACACTGTCCTTCCTTCTGGAGGGTGGCTACTTTTGTTCCCTATGGTCCCTGTGTGTGTTGTAAGGTAGCTACTGCTCCAAGCTCACTCCCGTAATGGACTACAATCCCATGTTTAGTTTACTAATTTGTATTGAGATAGTAGTCCATCCTGGGAGCGAGCTTGAAACGGTGGCTAATTTACAACACACACAGGGATCATGTGGAACAAAAGTAGCCACCCTCCAGAAGGAAGGACAGTGTCAGCACTAATTCAGAGATTATTTAAAAGATCTACAGCTGAGTAATGCACAAATAAGGACCAGTAATGCTAACAGTTAAGGTACTTAAATGCTTTTTTAAGATTTAACTCCTGAGTTCAGTGTCCTTACTCCCTTGTGTTGAACTGTATTGTAACTGTGCTGTCTCCATCTTTTTTGTAAAGCACTGTGCAAACTGTAGGGACTATATAAATCTTTCATAATAAAATTAATTATAATAATATTCCGTTCACAAAAACAAAAGAGCTTGAAAAAAGTAAATGTGGACTTTTCAGATATTATAGATGGATTTAATGGTCTGCGGCAGGGTTTATACATTTTTAAGGCTAGGAGGCATATAACTGACATGGCATCCCAAAATATTGGCATGGCATCCCCACATGCCAGAGCTGAAACAAAAACACAGCAAAAATAAAGAAAATAAAAAAGTATTTTAAAAATTCACTATTAGTTATGTTTCCCTTCCTTCTTTTTTTTCTACTTCAGTGTGATTTTGCGGTCTAAAACCTCTCTATTTTTACATATCAGAAGTATGTCCAGCAACACATGCAAAATAACGCTGTTCATGCAGGTGAAGGATGTAATGCAACAAAACAGTACCAACCACAGAGGTGTGTTTTAAATCAGTAACAATTTATTCACACTTTTGCAGTTTGATGCGCTGCACCAAGTGCAATAAGCCACACATTAACGTGCGTTGCGGTCACTTGAATGGGCTAGACACATGCCAAGCCATACTAAAAAAACATGGTAGTAGTGCATTACTGTGTGCTGCAGTGCACTGCAACACATGTGAGTTGGCAAAATACGTTGGGGGTGCGACTAAGAGTGAATGACTTTGCATGCGCGTGTTGCATGGACGTGTTACAGCACTGCAATAATTTTAATGGGCCAAAAAGATCTTTTGATGTTTTAAAACTCAGTACATGAGTGAATGGAATGATGAAATGAACACCAAGCCATTTCAGAGAAAAGTATTTGCAACTATTGCCTGACATCTTTGCTCTTAATAATCCATAGACCTTATTTAGCATAATTGACAGCTATAACAATGTATGCATTTTTAAAAGTAACTTACCATTCAATATTTCCTTTAATTGTCGATACCATATGTCACAGAAATCTTCACTTAGGTTGAGAAGGCTAATGGAGTCATCTTTCAGTTTGTGTCCATTCCTGATGCACAAAAATAGAGTGATTCCCAACAAGGTGCCACCTTTCTCCTGTCCTGCTGCACGGCGGCGTTTCAGTTTCACAGAAAATATATCTTGCAGGTCAATAGATTCCTCTTTCTGCAGTTGGCTGGTTTTGGAACTGCCTATTTGAAGAAGCATATAAGACAAAGTTTACAGAACATAGAACACATATTTCTGCCTTGCTTAATGTTCAGAACTAAATTTGAGTTAAACATGCCTTTTAAGTCAAGCCTTTACAACTTCCTTTAACAGGCTAAGATGTACAGAACAGTTACAGGGGTGATTACAATAGCCAGCAATTGTTCATATGTATTAATTAAACCTTTTCCCAAAAATGTTTCTGTACCTGTCTAAAAAAGTATTAGCTGAAGTTTGGCTGTAATTTGTTTGTCCCTTACTTTAAGCGGAACTAAGGTCCACTGTACTGTACTTACCTCCCCTTGGAATTCAAAAAATTCAAATGCATTGACATTTGACTGTACAAGGCATCGTAGGTACTAAAAGGTTGCCATTAAACTCTATATACTCGACTCATTATGGACATACAACAGTCAGGTAAATAATGTAGCTTTGAAGCAGTTCAAAGTCTAAATGGCCAAAAGCTGCAATATCAGTGAATTACCTGGGGGTAGCCAGGTATGCTAAAATCTTTTTGTATTGTCTTTTGTATTTGGTCACATAAATAATATGATGGCAGCTTTCCATTTAGAAGCTATATATATATATATTTTTTTTTATTTTTTTTATTTTTTTTGTGTGGCCACCATAATACCTATGCAGTCCACTGTGTTACATTACTGCATGTGCATCAATTTAGTATGAGCTGCCAAAGCACATCAACACATTTAAAAATCATACATAACACTTTGTAATGTAGCATACCAGGATACATTAAATTAATTTTACCTAAATGTACCACACAAGCTGTTATGCATTAATGGATGGTAACACATGTGATACCCCAAAGCATAGGTCTGCAGGAGGACTACAAGATCAGTTTGATGTAAATAATGTGGTTGGTGTGTGTTAAATAGACTCAGTTGAAACAATGAAAGTCAGAATAACTGATGTCCCTGCAAAGAGAGTACATAGAAAATTGTAAAATCTGCGCTTGTGGGTAGACACAGTATAAAAGCTGTAAAAGCACTTTTGAAATCATCACTATCAGGGTGACAAAAGAGTGAATTTATTGTTTACACTGAGGCCTTATAGAGCCTATCACAAACTGTTTGAACACTTTTGTTCAGTTGATCTTTGCACTATAATACTTATATTTATAAATTTTTTGTGATATTGATTACACTTGATTTTATGGATTTTTCACTTAAATATCACCTTTTAGCGCTGCACATTTAGCACTTAAAGAGAGTACATAGTTCTCTGCTGCTTGCGCCTCTGAATGCATCTACTGTATGATGTAGAGGAACCGCCAACTAATTTCTCTTCAGAAACCAACCCTTTTGGTAGTGTCCATCTCCGCTGTCTCTAGCTGAGCTCAGTGGTTCCTTTTATTGATCCCTATATCACTACTGTGTCCCAGAGACACAACAGTAATTAAAAGGAAATATTTCCAAAATTCTATTGGAAGATTTCCCCCCTCCCCTTCTGATGTGGTGGGCACCTTAGTATCCATTTTAAACTAAAAAATAAAACAATTATTTGTTTTGGTTTAGATAGACCACAAGTCATAAAATAATACTGTGAAAAAAAGTATAAAATCTTACATTCTAATGTAAAAATGTGCAGACTGAACAAACACATAAATTGCAGGATTTGCAAAAGGCATTTATAGGAAGGCATACGTAGTTCCAATGTGTAATATTCTCTGAGCCAGCTCTAGGAAAAAAAGAAAACTGAAAAGTATTATGCTAATAAGGAGCATGAAGGCCCATGTGGAGCAACACATGCTAAACCACAACATGGGGGCAAATCAGTCACATGGCACAAAATACAATTTAACTGATCTGTGCCATCTCCAATTTAATTTTTGTATTACAGCATACAACACATTCTTGTTACTTAAGAGAATATCAATTGACATCCATACAGCTAATAAGCCTAATGTATAGCTATGTTTTCACATATGACTTATTAGAGGCAATTTAATAGAGATTCATTATTCTTTGGCCCCCCTAAAGGTGCTCAGCTAATCAGTGTTGGAGAGAATCTTGCTTCCATCTGGTAGCAATAAACTTTTCTAAAAGACTGAACAGTATTATTTAATCCTGTGATTTCTTACTGTGATCTAAATTAACTTTTTGCTACTGTTTTGTCATATCACATTGATATCAAATTAACTTTGACGAGTCTAGCGGTCCAGTTAGGAGAAGATAATAAAGGCAATGTGAAAGAAGAGTTTCTTTCAAATAATGTCATTTAACAAGTGATAACTTGCAAATGCTTTAGAGTCACAAATAGGGAATATTAGATTCTAAGAATAGGTTCATTTTTTTAATATTTAAATGCCACCAATTACATATGGCATGCTGTGCAAAAGCCCACTATAAAACACAGGGCTCCACAAAACAAATTATTTTGATCATCCTTAATGTCTGTAACCTTGGAGATACATTGAAATCTGTATTTAAAAATGTACCTCTTTTAGTCATTATATCACCTTTAACTAGGGATGGATGAATGTGCTCAGGTTGGTGGAATCCTGCTTAAAATCTGTGAAAACCAAACTTAGCAGCGAACACTAATAAAGTCTGCGGGTGGCAAAACTTAATACATTTTTCAGGCTAATATGCAAGCTATTGTCAAAAAAGGACATGGTGAGCTGGGCACCTTTAACAAAGCAAAAACAAATTTAAAAAAATAATGTACAGTGTTGAGAGGGCCCTTTTTCAACTTCAAGATCAACACCAAGCCTCTAAATTATGGCATTATATATTTTGAAAGTATAATTGATTTTCTCAACTTTTATATTTAGTTTGGCTTAAATACTATAGCAGCACCCCAATCTAGAGCTGCAGCTAACGATTATTTTCAAAATCGATTAGTTAGCCGATTATTAAGTTCGATTAATCGGTTAAAAAATAAAATACATTTTTAAAAATGGCTCCAGTGATGGGACTACTAGTTTGTATTGAGATTGCAGTCCATCACAGGAGCGAGCTTAGAGCGGTGAAAGTAAAAAAGAAAAAAAAAAGTGTGGTGTGCAATATAGTGAAATGGAAAGTGTAAAATTATACAGAAATGAATGCAGAATGGCACTGGCTATAGAGTACTACAAATCCCAGCAATAGTAAATTATAGCTGGCGGTATTCTGCATTGCGCTGTATAATGTACTATTGCTGGGTTTTGTAGTCCTCTATACAGCACAATGCAGAATACCACCAGCTATAGAGGACTACAAAATCCAGCAATAGTACATTATAGCTGGCGGTATTCTGCATTGCGCTGTACTATTGCTGGGTTTTGTAGTCCTCTATAGTTGGTGGTATTCGGCTTTGCACCCCTATATAATGTGCTATTGCTGGGATTTGTTGTATTCCTCTATAGATGGTGGTATTCTGCATTGCACTGTATAATGTATTATTGCTGGGATTTGTAGTCCTCTATACAGGGCAATGCAGAATACCACCAGCTATATAGGGATACAACAAATCCCAGCGATACATACAGTGCATAATGTATTGCTGGGATTTTTAGTCCTCTGTATAATATACAGCACAATGTACCATCAGCTATAGAGGAATACAAATCCCAGCAATACATTATAGAGCGCCATGTGTGGGAAAAGTGCAAGCTTACCTGAGCAGTCTTCCAGCAACTTGTTTCTGAGATCGGGCCTGTCTATCGGCAGCTGTCATCCCCCAACACCTGCTCCTTCTTACTTCTTCTCCCCACGTCCCTGTGCCGATCGTGGATGTGGGCGGGCAGTGAGCGTGAGGAGGTGCGGCGGGTGGAGCGTGGATGCGGGCGGGTCTGGCAGCGGCGAGCGTAAGGTGGGGAGGAAGTGTGGAGCGTAAGGTGGGGAGGAAGTGTGGCGCACAGCGTGTGTGGAGCCGTGAACAGGGCCAACCAATCGGAAGCCGATTAATCGATGATTGAAAAAGTTGACAACTTTTTCAATAATCTATTATAATCGATTATATCGATTAGTTGTTGCAGCCCTACCCCAATCAAATTAATTTCAAATCGGGGAAAAAAATGCTTTTTTTAGGTGGTTTTGGCTGCGACACCAGATTTTTTTTATCCGGCAGTAATAAGCGTAAATTAAAGGCTAGAAGTAGGAGCCACAAAATATATCTTTATGCTATAAGAAAGTTTACTAAAAATAAATAAAACTAAATCCCTCACTTATGTCTAAATTGACCAGTGGCAAAACAGTTTAATAGTATTATTTGTAAGCTTTTTTTCGCAGTATCACACTGCATTGTCTAACAGTTTACTAATATGTCACAACAGTGTTTGCATCAGACCGGAACTTGATGAGGTCAGCAATCTTGTGGTTTAGGCGCTGCCTCCAGCTGTGCCTGGCTGCTGTGGTTTAAAAAACCTTTTAAAAGCGGCACTGAGGCAGCTGCTGATGAGGTACATTGGTCATCAGAGGGGATCCTGCTACTATCAGGAAATTAGGTTCTTACACAGCACCTCCTCAAAGTGCCACTTTTTGAGCTCTATCTGAGATGGTGGTAGTATATTGGCCACTTTCCTTTTGTGTCAGGGATCCAATAGGGTGGCCACCCAATTGTGGTACCTCTCTTAGATGCCTCAAATCCTGGGGTTCTTGCCCAGGCATTTGAGCATGAAAGATCCTCTTCACCACAGCATAGGACCCCGAGTCCTTAGTGTCACAGAGGACAACGCTGTCCTCAACAATCTCACTCCACCCACATACAACTCCCAGGGTTTGGAAAGGAGGGGAAAAAACCTTGAAGCGTGTCCCATTTCTTCCTTCTCCTTACTGCCAGCACCCCAACTCTCCTCCGCGTATTGCCTCACAGAGAGGGAGGCAGTAGGCAAAGAGTCCTGCTGGCCCTGAGACACCAGCAGGTCCTCATGCTCTTGCTGCTATGCCTCCAGTTCCCGGTTGATAAGGCCACAGAGTGTGTGCTCCACGAAGAACATTAGAGGAATTGTGTTACTAATCCTAGTCTCATCGCAGCTCAACAT